TTGTACATGAGAAGGACTGCCAGCTGGTAATGAATGCAACTTGCATTCACTCCAAAGTGCAATGGGGGCAAGGCTTTCAACCTAAGCCCCACGCTACACACTGATTGGAAAGAAGCAGTTTTCTATAGCGTGTTAATTGCAGAATAGTTGCAATTAAACAAAGTATTGATTGACTCGGGCCTTGGGCAGAATACAACTTGATTTCGAGCAACCGTGTTTACTCGGGTTTTGCCACCAAATTATTACACTACGGAGCTATTGGGGGTGGATGTGATGTGCAATGCTCGAGCTCAACCAGCAAGTGCTTGTATTTTCCGACAAGTGGTGTGACGTTCATGATAGAGCTTGTTGAATCGCCTGTTGGGGAAGGTACTGCGTGCCAATCTCAGTGACTGGAAGAGCTGCCAGTGGTGGAGATGGATGCCGAGTGGGAGTTTTACGCATGTTGTTCTGTTTTATCGTCTCGGTGCGCTTGATGGTGTCAATTCGTGGGAGGAGCGTAGAAACAAAGTGTAGATATGTATGGCCGGGCAGTCGCTCTGGATTCTGATCACTATCGGACATAATGAAGAAAATCGTCCGAATAATAAAGCCCTTTAGGAGGCTAATTCTTGCTCTCCTTCTGTCCGAGCAATTTATCCTGACAACGCAACTCAATCAGAGGGCGTTTTCGGCGACATTTCTATCCTCTAATAGTCTAACTCGATTGATTCAAGAGTGCACTGCTTCGCTTAGCTTGTAGAATACTCCAAAGACTACTAAAACACACGGACAGAGGACGCCTCGCAATAAAAGACTCTATTATGAAAATATGTCAGCCGCCTCATGCTCCGTAGTAACTTTCACAGTCCTGTCTTTGAGTTACACTAGAAGTTATGAGTATAAACTGGTGGTCCAGGCTGGGACGTCAAATACACTGAGGCGTGTTCATCAAAAATCCAGTCTAACGCACCTCCACGTTCGCAAGAAAATTGTTGTAGGTGGTTTTAATGTACTCGATATGGCTTTTATCTTTCCCAAGGTATGTGAAACGGTGTTGTCCAAATATTTCAGTCTTCCAAATGGCAAGTGCCTCATAGTACTTGATGTTGTTTGTAAGCATCTCGTCGTACAGCGCCGAATTTTCCAGCCACCTTCCCGGGCGTTTTCGAATCGACCATCTCGTTAAGGTCCGTAGAGGCAAGTAGTGCATTGCCACTGTCGAAAAATGTGATAGCGGAAGTTACGAGCAAAACGTATGCGAGGCGCCTGCTGTTCTAAACTTGCGAAGGAATTGCTTGAGGGATGAGGTGGAAATTGCACAACGGAACCTAGTACTTTGTACACCAACTTACACGGAGCACGCATAGCATTTTTAAAGCCTGTATCCCACATGCCCTTCTTACTGCATCTGACCAACGATTGCCACAATCTTGCTGTGCCCATTCGTCAACCGTCATCATCTTTGAAAAAGCTGCCATCACTTTCAAGCCGCCGACTTACGTACGCTCCGCTAGGCTCTCAGATCTACGGTCGAGCTGCATGAAACAAGGTTCTGTGGGCCATATATACGCTTGGTACTTCCCGAAAGGTTTTTCGTGGTTTCCATACTTACAGACAAGCCCGATTTGACTACACCGAAGATTGTCACGTCCAAGTCAGGCACCAAGTTTTACAAGAAGCTTAAACTGCAGACTTCTGGTTTGGTTGGCTCCTGAAGGGTGAGCGGAACTTTCGGTCGCACATACAGTAAACGTTGGGTTCCAATACTTCTCTTCGATTTCAATACCAGATTGATGCATTGGGCGATCCATATTTTTATGACCTTCGTCGATTATAATGGAGACTACCAGGATTTGATCATGTAGGAGCAACTCACGGACGTGACTCGTGTGGCTTTAAATGATGGAATCAATTCTGGAAGAGAGAAAGTTGCCGTTCAGTGATGAATACATCGGGGATCACCCCAACGACGCGTGGCCGCTCTAGTATTTAAACAACTGGCGAAAGGCTGACTTCGACAAAACTAAAGGCTGATAACCTAATATCCCCCCTTCTCGAGAAACAAGAAAACGAACACAATCGACCTTTATTTGCTGAAATAAAGACACAAACACCCCCGACCTTACTGACGGCTGCGGTAGCGCTCCTCGTACTCACGTTGCACTTCCTCCGCAGACTTGTTCGACGTCTCCGGGACCAACTTCAGTGACAACAGATAAAAGATGGCCAGAAGCACCACGAACGGCAGGTAGCTGTAGTCGTCCAGAGCGTCGGCGATGTACGGGTATGCCACACCGACGATGAGGTTGCACAGCCAGTTGGCACCAATGCCGATGGACGTGGCTGTGGCACGCACCGAATCCGGGAACAGGTCCGCCGTGATCACCCACACGAGAGGACCCAGCGTCACACCGAACGCGATTACGTACAGAGCGGTGAACACGATGGACAGCGCAGGCACGTCCACCAGGAACGCCACCGTCATCAGCACAGCCATGACGAACATACCGGCCTCACCCCACAGGATCATGTTACGATTACC